AGATAGATAAAAACCAAGAGACATGAAAAATAGTCCCTGAGTTTAAGGGACTCACAGTCCAATGGGGGAGATGACACTCACATGACCAGCTGCATGCCCTGGAGATGATCTCAGAGGGAAGGCACCAATACTAGGGAGAACTGGGAAAGGCAGGATTTCAGCTAAGGAATCCAGGGAAGCCAGGAGGCAGAGAGGGATGACAGTGAAAGAAAGTGCTTGGAATTTGGAGATAGATCCTCATGTGCAAGGAATAGCTGGTAGGCCAGTGTCACTGCACTGCAGACCACGTGCAGGGTAATGAAGTACGAGAAGAATGGAGAGGCAAAAGGCCACCAGGTTGTGAAGGGCTTTGAATGCCAAACAAGGATGAACTACTCCAGGTCAGGGACAGTGCAGAGGCAATTCCTGCTTATCTACAGGTTGGACTAGACTAGAAGGGTCATGGCCTACAGGCTATATGCGGCCTATAACACTACGGAGTGAGGCCTAAACCAGATTACAATGTAATTGGGAAATATTTAACAAAATAAATGAAAATACAATAAAACACAGATAATGTTGAAATGCAGTTTTCTAAGTCAATATGCTGCCCACAGGGATTTTTATGTTTGGGTCAGTGGCGTCAGACAGCACTAAACGAGATGACCTCTGGACAACAGACCCTCTCAGCTCTAAATCTAAGGTCTTATTATTGCAGAGATTATTTAGTTCAATTCTTTAATTTGATGAGGAAATTTAAACCCAGAGATGATACTTCAAGTAGAACAAGGCCACCCAGGTGGCTAACAGCAAATCCAGGCCTCTTTCCATGCCACAATGATGCTTGAGATGTAATATATGACTTTAGTTTGTTAATTAATGTCCTGTGCAGGATAACCTCCCTTTCCCAATTAGGTTGTAGTTGAGAGAAGTCTAAGACATTGGAGGCAGTGGGGCCAAAAGGTATGTGGCTGTCTCCCATGCTGGTTGGCGCTCTTAAGTGGATTTATGAACCCCCCCATTAGAGAATGGTTGAGAAGGTTGTGTTTTATAACTTGGAGGGGCCATAAAAATGGGAGTGATTAATATGACATTGGTCATAATTAACATTATGGGTAATGTTGAACAAATGGTTAATGCTGGATATCAGCCGGATAACACTGAATTATTTGCCCGAAGGTTTGTTCCATGGAAACGAACATATATGAGCAATTCAATCCTGAAAAACATAATCATCATCAATCTACATTTACTGTGCATCTGTCAGGTGTGGGGCCCTATACCAGGGGCTGGGGGCAAAATATAAGGGGTACTCATGCCCGAAGTAGGCATCTTCTGTTAGTAGTTTATACTGAGCACTGATATAAACACTTGGGGGGTGCTGAACACCACCCATTGTCTACACGTGCATATACATTCCACAAAGTTTCCAGGAGTGCTGGTGGGGGTGACAAATGGCTGGCTAACATTCCTCCAAGTCAAGGTCCTCATGCAACATGTAGATGGAGGGTGTACGGAGTCAAATCTGTGTCAAATGATCTTTGCCTTCTCTACCCACTCATCTGGGTGCAACAATTCTATGCTTGCTAACAGCAATATCCGTCAACCGCTTGACCCTGGAGGTGCTGAGGTGTTGTAGATGATGGGCAAACAGCTCTCTAGCAGCCGCTGCTCAAAAACAGAATCACCCACTAAACGGCCACAAAGATCCAGCCAGAGGGAGGTGAGCCCACTCTGGTCATCCCGGATGGTCCAAGAGCAATGTGGGAAACCAAGGGTCCAAAGGCCAGTTTTGTGGTGGCGCTGTGCAAGGTGCTGCCTTCTAGTAGTTATAATACTAACGGCTTATTAATAAGTTTATTAACAGTTTAAACATGTTCTGTGTGACATTTTTCCTTTAGCATGGGCACACTGACTTCCTCACACTAAGTTCCACATAGAAACCCATTCTCACTCTTGCCTGCTTTGAGTAGGTTACATTTTTAGGGGTGGAAGAGGAGGACTTTTTCACATCTGGGGCTTGTCTGCTAGGGGCACAGTTTAACACACTGGATCCGTGTTTGAATATGGGCTTTGCCACTTATTAAGTCATTACTGAACATCAGAGGATAATACGATTGTTCCATGAGCACTGGATTTTAGAATCAGGACCTATGACTGAGTCTTAGCTCTGCCTCTTCCTTCTTTATGTGACTCCAGGCAGGTCATTCCCCTCTTTGAAAGGTCTGAAATGGGACAGAGAAGTCTGGTCCAGATGAGACCCTTTCCAACTCTAAATCTATGACCCCATGATTCTATTTATCCTCAGAATGAGCTAATGGGACAGGCAAATATAACCCCCTCTGATGATCCTCCAGGCCAAAATAATACACAGGCATGAAAGAAAGGGGATATGTGTTTTCCTAAAATCAGCCAGAGGCTGGCAAAGTGAAATTAGAACGCGGGTCTCTGAGCCTCTGATTCCTGACATCACACAACCCAATGATGGTTGCAGACTGGAGGGTGAATGTTACAGAAGCCGAGAGCCGAGGTCACAGTATTTAGATGTGTAGTGCTGATGACTGGTATTCAGATACATGCCCAAGAAGATGAGTGTTCGCTTCTCATGTTCTTTTGTTTGAAATAATTCTGTTGTCTATGCTCTGGGATATGTGGTCAGGTGGGAAAATAAAAATAAAAAGCCACGGTCCAGTGGTCTCTGAAGGCTGCAGAAGAGTTGGAGTACCAGGTCTATGGTGAAAAATCAACTCGGAGTATTTTAGAACCAAAAGGGACCTCAGAACACAGAACATCACAAGCAGTAGGGACCTTACTGGAAGCCATCTAGTCCAACCCTCTCATCTTTACAGATGAGGAAACTGAGGCTGGTGGGGGCGGTGGGGGGCAGTTAGGAGGCTAGGAAGCACCCACAGGAGACTCTGTGCTCAGGGTAGGAGCAGGTGAATAAGAGCCACACGCCATCCCACTCTCAAGCCCTTTTTGAGTTGGGGCAGAACTGAGTTTCACAGGGCGACCTTTATCTTTCCCCTCATACTCCCTCTTCTTCTGAAATTCCCTATTATTTTCAAGGGCAAAACCTTCCTTTTGCTCACCAAGGTTCCCAAGATCCTCACTCTTAACCTACAAGTCCAAGCAGCTTTCAAATATCGTCTATCACGTCCCCCTCCACAGCATTTCCCACGTCCATTCCCTTCTTTCCACTCACAGAGTCACCGACCTAGTGCTGGCCCTCATCCCCTCTCACCTGGACTATTACAACAATGTCCTAAATGGCCTCTCCCTTACAACCTCCACATAGCTGCCAGAGTGATACCGTGTTACTCTCCTACTCAATAAACTCCCTATTACCTCTAAGATCAAATGTTACTGCATCTGTATCTCATTCTCTTAAAAGTTCTATTTTGTGTAGGTTTTATAATGTATATAATTATTATATACACATATAAATAAGTAAAACTTACAAATAAGTAAATACGCACATGTTAGGGATGTACGCTCAACATTATTTTTTTTTTTTTTACTGATATGGTATGTGATTAACAAATTTTGGGGCTCACTCTTTTAGAGAACAGAATTGCAGGGTTGGGAGGTGCCTCAAAGATCATCTCTAGAGGTGGGGAACCTGTGGCCTCAAGGCCACATGTGTTCCCCACCCCTAATTCCAGCCTAATCCCTTTATTTTCCAAATAAGGAGGCCCAAGCTAACGATGGGAGGGTTACCCAGTGAGTCAGGGGCAGCACTGAGCTCAGGTACACTGACTCCTACTATTTTCTACAGTTTCTTATAAGCTCTAGTCCTCACCACAAAGGACCCCCGAACGCCTAAGGAGTTTCGGGCTGGATTTCACCTCTGCCTGGCTGCTAACTGCTAAATGTTTATCAATAACCAGCCAATTCATAGATGGCGTTTATGTTGAATAATGTGTTCTCAGTCTGGGATTTGGTGTTGAGTTCCTTAGATGAGGCCTTCTTCCTCAAAAGGGGTTCAAAGCACATCTGGATGGTCCAGGTTGAGCTCAGTGAAGGAGACAACGATAGGGATATATCTGTGTTTGTGTCACATACTTTCTGAGAGACACATGGTGTGGGCCAAAGTAGGCTGCAGCACATGACTAATGATGGCTTGTATGTGAGAAAGGTGGTTTCCAATCTTCCTGAGGATAAGGACCCCCTTTTAATGTCAAGTAATTTCACACGTGCTCCTGTATCTAGCCCCGACAGTCACTGCAGACCATTAGCACCAGTGAACCAAGAAAACACCCTAGGATCAAGTGACATTTGGTGTGGCCCATATACAGTTGTAGGCCCTTTGCCTACATATAGAGTTTGTAGGTCCTTGGTCTAGAACAGAGGGTCTGCAAATTCTGTCGAAGGGCCAAGTCTGGCCACCATTGGTTAGCTCCAGAGCTAACAATGATTTTATACATTTTAAAATATTAACAGTTTGCTGATCCCCGGTCTAGAATATGGGAGCTACTGCCATCAAAGGCATGCTCAAGGTCATAAATAACTGGAAAAGGAAGTGGGCTGGTCAGTGAATAAGAGTGAGGATGGTCCAAATATTGCACTGGCATCTCTGAAATAAGAAGACACCGGGAAAATACCCAGGACAGTCAGTGGGTGGATCCTGAAAGGGGGATTTATAGAAAGGCCTGGTGGAGTAGGTACAGGTTGGGTCGTGAACTGTCCTGGTGTCAGGGTGCATCCACAGAGCTTAAACCACAGATCTATCCCAGTGGGGAAGTCACCATAAGGCTACCATCTGGCTCCTAAGTATAATCATCTTGGTTCGTGGGTTAAAAATTTTTTTTTTTCAGTACCCCTTTGCTATGCTAGGGACACCTGATAAAGCTAAGGGTGTGTGTGTGTAAACGTATATTATACGTAAATGTAAACAGAAATATATATGCAGCTTGTAATATGGATGTATATATGTATATATACATACATATACATTACAAGCTGCACAATTAGATGAATAGAAGCTATTTATATACATATGTATTTTTTTTACAAGCTGCATGATTACATTAATAGTGATACTGGATACATTTACTTATAGATAATATAGGCTTCTTCATGGGGGGGGAAGGGGCATTCATTGACATTGGGATTAGTCATTGAATCAATAAACACTTAATGAGTGCTTACAGCATGCCGTGCCCTGTGCTAATGCTAGGGATGCAAAAAAAGGCAAAAAATAGTCCTCGCTCTCAAACAGAGCTCATCGAAGTCGAATGGAGGAGATGACAATTCTGTACAAATGAGCCATTGGCAGGATGACCTGGAGAGAACCCCCAGAGGGAGGGCATTAGGACTGGGGAGGCTCAGGAATGCTTCCTGGAGAATGTAGGATTTTAGCTGAGTCTGGAGCAAAGATGAGGAACCAATGGAAATGCCCAGAGGTGAAGCACGGAAGGGCAACAAGGCGGTGGGTGTCACTGGACTGTAGAGTGCTAGAGGGCAAAGACCAGAAAGGTGGAGGAGGGGATGCCAGCTCATGAAAGGCTTTGACTGCCAAATACAGGGTTTTATAGAGGTAAGAAGGGTGCTCTGGACTTTATGGGATGGGGTGGGTGTGACAAGGTAATTCAGGAGGCACTTCCTTTTAAGCTAGATTCAAGAAGCATTTAATAAGCACCTGCTATGCTCAAGGCAAGAGGCAAGAATTCAGGTCCTGCATCTGACACGTTGGTGGAACTGTGGGAGAATGGCTTCACCGCGCAGGGCCCAGGCAACCGCAATTTGCAGAGAAGCTGCCAAAACACATCAGCGGAAAAAGAGTCAACAATGGGAGCGCCTGATGTTGATAAAATCCTGGGTCTACGCAAAAAGAAGCGTGCTGGGGATCCAAAGATTAAATGGGAACTTACGTTTTATGTCTCTACCTGGACAGGATAATGCAGATACATACATTACATAAACAAACTTATCTAGATAGTTACCCAGATGAATAAATACAACATAATTTGGGAAGATGGTGATGATACCAAGGCGTGGGATTGGAAGGGGCTTCCTGAAGGAAGTGTTGAGTGGGCTGAACCCTGAAGAAAGCTCAGGCTTCTAGGAGACGGACTGAAGAAGGAAGGAGGCAAGCAGGTGGAAGATGGATGGAACGCTGGGTTCAGAGACTCACAAGCAGGCTGACTGAAGCTCAGAGGGCCAGGCTCCAAAAGGAAGGCAGACTGTGAGGGGCTTTAAATGCTAAGCGGAAAGGTCTGTAATTTATTTTGTAGCCGATAACCAGGAGCCACAGAAGATTCTTGAGTGGAGGAGTGATTTGATCAGAGCTGTATTTCAGGAAGATACTTTTGGTAATCGTATGGAAGATGAGCTGGAAAGGCAGGCAACAGTGGTTGGGCAAAAGATGCTAAGAGCCTGAATGGGCGGTGGGGGGGGGGTTATGACAGATGTGACGCTGGCCTCTCGTTTGTTCCACAAACAAGACACTCCATCTCCAGCCTCCAAGCATTTGCATCAGCTGTGCCCCATGCCTGGAATGGTCTCCCTCCTCATCTCTGCCTCCTGACTTCCTAGGGTTCCTTCAAGTTCCAGCTAAAATCCCACCTTCTACAAGAAGCCTTTCCCAACCCTTCCTAATCTAGCACCTTCCTTTGGGTATTTCCTATTTACCTTGTGCACTGTTTATCTGCATAGATTTCTTTGCTTATTGTCTCCACCACCAGACTGTGAGCTCCTTGAGGGCAGGGATAGTGCCTGGCATACAGTAGATGCTTAATAAATGCTTATTAATTGGTTGACTGATATTGGAGATGTTGAGGAGACGGGACCTGGCAGCTCACTCGCTGTGTGTGGGGTGTATGTGTGTGTGTGTGTGCGTGTGTGTGTGTGTGTTTACACACCCACTGATTTGTTACTTCTGGCTATTACCAGCCCAGGCTCCATTCACACTGGTGTCTGGGGTGGAATGCTGCATTTCATGAGCGGCTTCCTCAGGCACCTGGCCCTCTCACACCGACATGACCTGAAGGCACTGGAGTTACACACAGACCAAGGAAGGATCTCTAGCCCTTCAAGGCTCCCCCAATCCAGTACAAGGGGAGGTATGGCAAGGGTTCAAGAGCCCATGACAGGGAGATCAGCACAGGCATGGATATCTGGAAGGAGGTGAGGGCAGGTCGCTGGGGTAGGGCTGAAGCCAGGACAAAGCTTCTCCCCCAGTAATAAGTTCCAAGGCAAAGGACCACGTAGACTAGAACTTGGCTCATGACTGTTCCACTCTGTTGTTTTGCCACTGGTCAGAGGATCACGGACTTAGAGTCAGAAGGGCCCTGGGAAGAGGCTCTCTAGTCCAATTTTCTCAGTGTACAGGTAACAGAATGAAGGCCCACTTCACCTAGGTAGCAAGACATAGGATTTGAACCGAGGTCTTCCTCTGACTTTTAATCCAGTGCATGAGATGTCCTCCCTGTCTTTGTTCCAAGATAGGAAGATGACTAGAATACCAACCAAAAGAGTGGGGCCAAGAGACAATTTCCAAACCAGAATGGCCATGTGGGGTCAGGGGCTGCTTGGATGTGGGGATTAAGAACTGTGGCTAACCAATACTGTGTGTTAGCTAAAAAACCTAAGGAGATTTTAAGAGGACCTCAAGCCCAGTGAGCCAACAGCGTGGCATGGGGGCCAACAAAGAGCTGACGGATTCTTCGGCTGCATCTTGGGGAGGAAGGAAGGCCCGCTCTGCTTGCTTCTGGTCGAGCCGCATCTGGAGGGCTCCATTCTGTTCTGGGCTGTGATTCTAGAAGAATGTCCTAAAAGGAGCCTGTCCAGGATGGAGAGAGGACTGGGAGTCATTCGACAATGGCTCAGGGGACACCGCCCGGCCCTCCAGCACGGGAAGACTGTCTGCCGGGCCCTGGGGGACAAGAGGGGGTAGCTGAGAAGAAGAGTCTGGCTTGATGTCAGGAAGAAATGCCTCATGATGAAAACTGCCTGAAAATGGAAGGGCCTCCACAAGGGCTCCCCTCACTAGTGACTGTCAGGTGGAGGCCAGAGATCAAGCAACCAGCAAGTGTTTATTAAGAAGCTACTATGCACCAGGCCCTAGCGATACCAGTACAGAGAATGGAATCATCTCCACACTCAAGGGGAGGGGATCCCTATTCGGCTACGGGGTACTGTGAAAGTCCTTCGAGGTCCCCCCTAGTCCTGAGGTTCTGGGCGTCTGTCTCTTCTTGAGTCCAAACCTGGAAATCTGCCGTTCATCCTCGCCGTGCCTCCTATGGACATCAGGGCGCTGACTGTTACTACGTTGGCCTGAGATATGGATCCCTAGTGACGGGACCATCTCCTTCCACTCTGAATCCGCAGAGGCTGGTGGCCATCTGCTCTCCCCTCTGTCCCTCTCCCACTAAGGCCAGACTGCCTGCCCTTCCCAAAGGCGCAGAGGCCGCAGAGGCCACCCCCAGCTCTCGGCAGGAACTCGGAAGACGTACCTCTCTCCGCCAGAGCGCAGCTGAAGTATCTGCTACTCGCTGTCCTCGTTCTCGCCCTCCTCCAGCTGCTCCAGGATCTCATCCAACACCACAGACCGCCTTTTCTTTGGGGAATCTATACCAGCCCAGATGGCAGAAGAGAAGAAATGAACAGCCGAGAGGGTTGGGAGGCAGCAAGACAGAAAAGACAGAGAGAGGGGGAGGAAAAAAAATGAATTTTGTACGATAGGCATCGGCTCATCACAGCCAAGAGCACATGGCTTTCCCCCACAATTCCCTTTCCTTCGACCCGACGAATGCCCGGGTGGTCCCCTAAGCATCTTTTCAGTGGTCTATTGCCCTCGGGAGAAGTAAGCCCTTTTCAAAATATCCAGGAGAAAATCCCTCGTGTTCTCATCGCACCCTCCTCTGGCCTACTGCATTGAGGGCACACTGGAGACAGCAAGGAGAACAAAGGCAGAGATCTGCACTCGGACCGCCTCGGCATCAGCCAAGCGGGAGGCACGGGGCACAGACGGGCCCCTGGAGCCCCGCCCCCGTCCCATTTGGTGTTTCTTTTTGGGAAGAGGAGGCTCTGGGCTCCTCTGTGGAAAGGGAAGGCAACAGGATGGGGAGGCAGGAGTGGAAGGCACTGCTTTTCACCAGCCCAACAGTTCGGGCACAGCCAGGGCTCACAAATCTGGAATTGCATGGCAGCCTAGAAGCCATGTAGTCTGAACCCCTCATCTTATCCTCTATAGAGGGAAATGACTTGGCCAAGGTCACATAGGTAGTAAGCAGGAGAGACGGGCTTTGAACTGACCTCCTTCAGCTCCAAATCTGGCACTCGTCAGACATGGAGGCTGAAACAGGGCAGCTCATGAAAGCAGCTTCCTGATCCTGGGCACTCCATCCAAAGTAGTGTCTAAGTCAAGCCTCCCTTACCTTTCTGATCCAGGCAGCTCATGAACTCCACACTCTTAACCTTGTCCCTGACCTCTCCCAAGCTGAAGCCCTGGCTTGGGGTGTGGGCGACTCGGGGCCCTCCCCACCTCTCCCTTTGTCATCCCTGTTCTTCCATTTTTCATCATCAACATAGGCAAAGCCTTCTTTTCTCACCAGCCTCCCTCCACAAGAGGCAGAATGGACAGAGAGCTGACCTTGAGGCCAGAAGGTCAAGTCCTGTCTTTGACAAATACTGGGGCAGGGCAATTGAGACGAAGTTACAGGCAAGATACTGACCTGCATTGGTACAGGGAACCTCCCCGTGCCAATAAAACCCAGTGCCCATCTCTCCTTTCCAGAACATCATCAGTCTGCAGCAGAGGGCACGGCACCACCCGCCTTCTGCTCCCTTGGACTTTGGGAGAGCCATCACAGGACCATCGATTTAGAGCTTGGAGAGACCTCCGAGGCCACCAGATTCAACACTCTCACTCTACATATGAGGAAACTGAGTCCAAAAGAGGCGAGGTCCGGGGTGGGGAACCTGTGGCCTTCCAGGTCCTTGGGGGAAGTCTTCTGACCGAGTCCAAGTTTTACAGAGCAAACCCTTGTATTAAAGGGAGTTGTTCTGTGAAGTTTGGATTCAGTCGAAGTGCTACAGCTGAGGGCATAGAGGGCCACATGTGGCCTTGAGGCCGCAGGTTCCCCACCCCTGGGCTAGGTGTCTTGTTGTGGACCAATGGATAGAGTTCTGGGCCTGGGCGCTCAAGACAGATTGGCCACCTGACCTCAGCCTTTCCTCAGTGCGGACAAACACTCCCTTTAGCAGGTGATAGTACGAGGCCACACCAGCCCCTGGAGAGGATCAGAGACTCTACAGCCAGGAGAGCCTCATACATCATCTGGCCTAATCCCCATCACAGTGACAGTGGACAAAGGCCTG